TGAATGAGGATGAGAGAAGACATTCGTTTTTGTAGTGAAATTACACTGGGCACAACGACCACAACTATAGTTACCCGAGGGGATAGATAAAAAGTGAGTGGGTCGTTCTACAGATAAACTAACGTCAGCAATGTCTTACAAGGAGATCACGTATATTAGGAGAGCGTTTATACACAAACCTTGGTGTTTTCTCAAAGATATCACTGAGGAGAGGATCAGATTTTAAGATATACCAGTGTTTATCTATGATCTTTTTTATATCTGAACAAATAGGAGAATATTGAACAGCACATACAATGGTTTTATTTTCTGATCTTAATCGTTTTTTATTTAGAGATGTCTCTTGATTTTCATTTCCAAATCTCCTAACTGCAGACTGTATCCAATCTTCATTGTAACCTCTCTCCCTAAATCTGTTAACCAGATCAGTGCTTTGTTGTGTATATGACTGTTCAGTACTACAAATTCGACGTATCCGGTTAAATTGACTAATAGGCAAGCTACATTTCAAAGCTGTAGAATGGTAGCTCTGGCCATGCAAAAGTGTGTTACGATCAGTGGGTTTTCTGTAAAGATCTGTGATTTATTTTTTTGCCATCCCTAATAATACGTATGTCCAAAAAACGAACACATGAATCATCATAATTAACTGTAAAACGTAAGTGTTCAACACTAGTGTTAAGAAAACTGTGAAATTGTAGCAGTTGATTTTCAGTACCTGACCATAACATAAAAATATCATCAATATCTTCGCCAAAGTGCAATATTTGAGAGAAAGGGATTTTGTAGACCATTAAAAATACATTTCTGTTTTAAATTTAGTTTTTTCATTGTTTTTACCCACAATCCTCTTTGTATTGGTAGATTTGGCTTCACTTAAACCTTTGTTCTTATTTGTTTGTCTCCACACGCCTCTTGCTGAACCAGCAGACAACGGATGACATTGTGTCCTCTGCAGAATGTTCCAGCGATGACGAGGATCTGGAGGAGTGTGACGGGGGACACACAGGTGGGATGGATGTGTTACGTTTGTGCTTGCTTAAACTTGGTCTTTCAATCTCTTCTATTTGAGCTCTCCCTCTCAAAGCATCACCCCCATGAGAACCCAGTGTAACTTCATAAGTGTCACTAAAAGCCCTTTTTCAAGCTTAAAAACAATAGCTATAAAAACATATGCCTATAGTGATATAAAGTTGTATATCACTGATGTACAAGAGTATTTGGACACTTAAGTCACAATAAATGTCTGTATGTTACTGGATTAGAATATAAAATATCAAACCAAATGGCATCTGCAAACAAATGTTACTAAATATTTTCTCAGGATTTCTGAGGAATAACCTTTTTTTTTTTCACTCGACTCCAACACATTAACTGTGGGCATGTTCCACTAATATCTGACTTTCAGAAAGTGTCTGTCAATTAATTACATTTAAATTAGGGCTATATTGCATTTATTAAAATATATAAATATTTGCTCCCAAGTTATATTTAAAAGAAATTACATTTTTGTGGCAGATGAAAGAAAAAGAAGAAGACTGCCTTAGTCTAAATACGTTTTTCTTAATTTTGAACAGTATATCATTATCCTTTAAATAAATGTCACTTGCTTTGATATTTTGTTATCTGTTGTGCAGTGACATTGATACATTTTAAGACGTGGTTTATGTGTCCAAATTCTGTTCTATTGACTTCTGTTGTATTGAAGTCTTTGGGCTGATTTCTCTGAATCAGTTCTCGTGCAAATGATATTGTGAAATGAGTCAGGAAGCATTGGGCTGTTTCAGAGTTACACTTGATCATGGGGCCGAACGTCACTAACATGGTTGTGTGTTTATACTAATTTTGTCCTCTCAGCAATCAACAGAGAGCCAAACTTTATGACAAAAGTACAAAATTAGTATCAAACTCCATGTAGTTCACTCTGATGCTTCAAAATGTATCAATCCTGTACACAATGGATTTCTTGCAGTGCATATGTGTGTGGTTCTTTGACAGATGATACATTTTGAGTTGTTTACAAATCAAATGAGAATAATGCTTCGAGCATAGAGATTTATGATGTGTAGCAGACTAACAGCAACAGAAACAACTCCTTCCTGTTTGTTCCTTTGTTTCTTCACATTGAAGGCTTGCCTTACGTTAAAACATCTAATAGAGAACAGATATCTTCGAATTTCTGTGCTCACCTTTCTCCACACATAGCCTCTGTTTCCTCAAGGTTAAACAAACTTTTTTTTTTTGTGCTGTATGACTAATTGGTATGGTTAAGATAAAACATAATTTTCAGAGAACTTGGGATTCGCTGTAATTGTCAGACTCCTGCTGTCAGCCATCGCAGTATATGAAACCCTGCTGTTGATTTTAGTGCTTACAAGGCCATTATGGATGCAAGGCTTGTTTGGTTTATGAAAGTTCGATGGTCTGCCTGCTGCCCTGTACTGGTACCTCTCAACCAAAGGGCATTTAATTGCTTCTAAATGTCATTAGAACACTAATTTACCTCAAACCACACCCTGCATTATACAAAACATACGTCTTGCATTGACCAGTTTTTTTAACCTTCCACTCCTAAATACACCAATTAAAACCATGTTTGCTGGCATCACGCTTTGATTGTTTATATTTTCAGTTGTAAAAATGACTTCCAGCAAAAACAATGATTTGTTTTTATCGTCTTTAAAGCGTGTCATACCCGTTTACCTGGCAAGCTAGTATCCATATGGTCCGTCATTACCTTTGACTTTACAGATTGTTTGTTAATTTTACCGCATATTTTCTCAAACTTACAAGGTCACTCTGCTCATTATACAAAGATTTATTCTGTACTAGTTTTGAAACCTGATGGCAGACAGTTGTGCTTTGGATAAATTCTCCCTAACTGTGGTAAATCTAATACCATCCCCAAGTCCTCTCAAATTCAATGGTAACAGGAAGTATTCTAAGGGACAGTTCCAGTGTTACCTTTCATTTCTTCTCATCTGACATTTGATACGAGTACACTTAGCCACAAACCACCACACTCATGCGATTTCATGTTGACACAGAAATTCACATCATCAGTCTGACCTTCGCTTCAGATTTCTTGGACAGTTTGCATGATACTATCTGTTCTGTTTTGGTTGAACCTTTTCATGTGGAAAAAACATCTTCCTACTGTATCCACTCTTTGACATTCCATTCATGTGATTTGGGTTTATTTGCTGTATTTCCAAGAATTTTCTTTTTTTTTTTACCCTCTTGGGTGCCTTTTACTTTGATGTTCTCATCCTTCCATTTTCCAGGATTAAAGTTGATCCTCTTGTTTCGCCTCATCTTGTGCCGCATGGAATTTTGGTGGTTGGAAGAAAAAAAAAACGTAATAATTATCTTCCTCATTTTTGTTATGTTTTGTGCCATTAGGCTAAAATGAAACATCCCCATATTCTATACAACAGGAAATAAAAGGCAACAAAATATTTTCTTGCCATCATGTTTTATTTATTATTTTTGCCTTGTGCAGGCAACCCCATTCTGTCTCAAGAAAGTTGTGTGTGAAAGAATGACCACCCCCCCACCCCTCCATCCCTGATCTCATCTTTATTTCTGTGCCTTTCTGCATAGACATGTCTGTTTGAATGCAGATGGCATTAAAAAAGACTTTTATTGCCACAAAGTATATCTGTTTTTCTATTTGTTGCTACTGATCAGTCGCATTTGACGCATGCGTTGATTGCAAACTAACTGATCCCCAGTGGGAGATCTCATCGTGACTCTTGCATGGATGTTATTGGCTCCATCCTGTGTGTTTCTCCATCCATGAGTTCGCTAACAGGCCGACCATGTGTGCTGCTGTGCATATCACCTGTCTATGTGCTGATGTCTTTGTCTTTAAACGTTGATTGCTCTATCTCTCTGATGTCTTGGCCTGTTGTTGTTTCTTGTATTTTTGCTCTGTGTGCTGTGAAACACATTTGAAATCATGGGAATTCCACAAAAAGGCTAATAAACATTTATACCAAGAACAGGGATTACATTGGAATTTTGAAGATGGGAAACCCTAAAATCTTGCAGTGATTCTAGTGTGGAGATACAGGCCAGGTTTGACAAGACATGAAATAAACAAATAAATTATCGGTTTGACAAATCAAACAGCTCGTCAGGAAGTTTAAAGGGGTCATATGATGCGATTTTTCCTGAAGGGGAACGTCTCTAGGTTACGTATGTAACCATGGTTCCCCGAGGAAACGAGACGCTGCGTCGAAGTCGCTTTGGGAACACCCCTGCGTGACCGTGTTCTGAAGCACGTGTCAAATTAGTCCAATGGAGTAGCGAGACGTCACGAGCGGGGTGACGTAAGCACCAGAAAGTATAAAAGCGCATCCGGCAGAGCGCAAACCCGATTCGATGAAGTAGCGCCTGCAGGGATGCAGGGAGTATGGCAAAGAGACGCAGCGTCTCGTTCCCTCGGGGAACCATGGTTACATACGTAACCTAGAGACGTTCCCCTTCAGGAACTCGAGCTGCATCGAGATCGCTTTGGGAACGAGAATACCCACTGCGCCATACTACCAAGTCCCTGCCTGTGTGTGTATCTTGCGAGCACATCACGAAGAGAGAACTTGGGAACCTGGGGTAGATGCCAGGTCTAGGCATCTACCCCTAAGGCATCTTGCGGGTTGCAACGCTCTGTTTTTGAGACTGGCGATATGAGGAGCTTGATGGCTTGGGCTGCTCCCGCTCAGCAGCCCCACCCCTGAGCAGGTCAGCCTGGTATGCTTGTAACACCGCCATGGTGTGCAAACATGCGCCAGCCTGACCTGCCGCCGTATAAGCTTTCCCAACCAGACTCGATGTAAGCCTAACGGGCCTGGTGGGAAGCTTCGGGGCCTTCAGGGACGATGCTGAGGATGGGGAGAGATAGCTCGCAAGCGTCTGCTCCACCACTGGCATCGCCCCATAACCCTATCAGCTCGAGTTCCTGAAGGGGAACAATATTTGGTTGCTTTTTGCAAGTGCAGTGCTGTACAAGGATAGCTACCGAACAAGTGTACTACAACAGAAAAGCCATATGTATAAAGTTGCAAGATGCAAATATTAAAATGTATTTTAAAAATCATGCAGTATGGAAAAAGTGTTTTTTGAGGTATTGTGCTTTATTAATCAATAATCTGTCCCTGTAATCATAATAAAAGTGTTTTTTTTTTACTGCAGGTAGTGTTCATTTCAACTGGAAACTGCAGTGAATTGTTTATAGGTGCGTTTTTGGAGTTAGAGGCACGTTTTTCCAATGAGCCTACATGTATGTTGATAGAAACACAGCCACAGTGCAATCAAGAAATCACCTATAGATGGTTTAACATGGTTCGCATAATATATATATAATTTTTTTTTTTTCTTCTATTTTTGACATCCATATTTCAGCTTTAGGATAACCAATAAATAAATGAAGTTTATGTACTGAATAGATCATAGGAGTGAACTTTCCCGAAGACTAAAAATAAATTCATGCACAAGGACAACTGACACAAGTATTTGATGTTCGAATCAAACAGGGGAAAAGCTGGCACCAGTGTAGTTCAAGAAGGAAGAGTCTTTTAAAGTAAAACTGATGTTGTGTCTGTAAGATCCCTGTGGTTTCATCGTGCTGTCATCGGCTTGGTTGATTAAGATGAAAAAACAGTCTTCAATGCAAGACATCAATCAGGAGAGCATGGAGAGGTGCACAGAGAACATGAGACCCTGAGGAATGGGTCACTGAACCACTGACACAGGCTGAATTTTGGTGTAGTCAGGCCACATTGGGCCGGCTGTCACTTTAAAGCAGCTCTCAGATCCAGTTTAAGGTTGTTTAGTTGACACATTTAGCTTAATGGCCATACAACAAATTGAACAGCAGACAGTGGTCGCATGCCTCTGGCTGAGGATATTAATTTATCACCTTGGGTCACATCGAGATATGATATGATGAATTGCAGCAATCTGTGACACTTTAAGTCAAAAGATCTCAGAAAGACATTTAAAAAGACA